GGGTAATGCTTGGATAAACAGATGTCATATAGGTCACTTAGTCATTAGTTATTCATTAGCTTATCACTCGCGAGTCCCACGCCAATCACTCTCGTGGCCCACGCGAGGAGATGTAGAAGGTCCTGTAATCAGTACTGTACCTTTCGTAAGTATGATAGTATATAACTGTGTTGTTAAATGACTGAAAAAATTTTTAAAAATGTTAATGCTACACCAATAAAATTCATAGACCTATTTGTAAACTTTTTGATAGTTAATCTATTGGCTACAATTTATTTTATACTATTATTATTAAGGTTTGACAATGATGACAGCAGTACGTGCATCAAATAGACCTGCAAACGAAAAGAAATGTATTGTTTTTGAAGTTCAGCTTCTGAGTCTTTTCACAAAATGTCAATCTTGCAACGTTGAGACAAAGAGAAAGATTGTACATAGGATTGGTACCTTTATTGTGATACGCCAGCAATGCAGAATCTGTGATTACACCAAAGAATGGAGCAGCCAATCTATGGTGAAAGATACGTCAACCAGCAGGGAATATCCTAATGTCAGCTGCTCTACTATATTCTGGGTCCTGCGTGTCAAAATCCTTGCGAATGTTAAAATTCCTTAACTTGGTATCAATTTCCGAAAGAACATTTTATAGACATCAAGACATTTTCTTACATCCATGTATCACCACTGTATGGCACAATGAAAGGGAAAAGTCTTTAGAAGCTGTTAAATGCTCTGAATCCGTGGTGTTAGGAGATGATGGAAGAGCCGACAGCCCCGGTCATACTGCTAAGTTCGGCTCTTACTGTCTGATGGAGCTAAATAAACACGAAGTTATTGACATTCAACTTGTTCAAGTAAGAACTGTTTAGATGATTTTAATATTTCAAAAACTACAAAAATTACATTAGTTATATATTACCTTTATATTACAGTACAGTATAAAAAATATAGTGTGTCAAAGACAGTGATACAAGCCTAATATTCAAACTTAACTGTACACACTTCTTTCTACCATCAGAAAAATACAGTAGGAGGAAGTTACCACATGGAATTAGCAGGACTCAAGGTTGGTATCAATGCCTTGAAGTCACAAAACATCCCCATTAATGTCTTTGTCACTGACAGACACATTCAAATGGCCAAATGGATACGTGAAAATATGAAAAATACCAAACATTATTATGCGCCTTGAGCACTTTAGTGGAGATGTGCGCTTAATAAATCTTATTATCATCATCATTATGATGTTTGGCATGTTGCTAAAGGTAAATTACTGATTATTAAACAGGTAATTAAACAAACACTTAATATTATTGAAAAAGTATTTAATTATCTTTTTTTTAACATTACTTAGGTATAAGAAAGAAGGTTCAAGCACTTTCAAAAAAATCAGACTGTGCAATTGTAGGTTAATGGGCCAAAAGCATCAACCACATCTACTGGACAGCCACGTCAACTCCCAGTGGTAATGGTAAAGAAATGGTTGCCAAGTACCAAAGCCTGACCAACCATATGCAAAATATACATTCGGGTCATTCGGAAATATTTCCAAGATGTCTGCACCCTCCATTAGAAGATAACAGAAAAAAAAACCGGGTACAGAAAAATTTTCCATATTTAGTTAAATTTCAACCAATATTTACTTACAGTAATCACACTAAACACATGCATGCAGACTTAAATAAATAAATGTACATTTTTTCAGGATCAAGGCATGTGAAATGTTAAGTGACATCCTTGACAAACCGCGCCTTCAAAATGATATTAGCATGTTAAGTACGCTTGGACAAACTTCGTCAGTAGAGGGTTTCCATGGAACCATTATACATTTCGCACCAAAAATGTTGGCATATTCCTATAATGGAATGTTGAGCAGGTAGGTAATACAGTATATAATTATTATATAATTTAGCTGGGGCTTAGGGCACATAGAAAAAAAAATTGGTTAGATTATCACATCCGTCCATGTCATAAATTTAGGAAATATTGATGCAGGAATGATTTTTTTTTTTTTTTTTTGCTGCATCATGTATTGTTACAACTTAAAACAACAATGCAATTTATAATGACTGGAAATACATTTACAGAACAAGTACTTTAAAAAAAACAATAAAATTAAAACAGTTTTTATACAATATTACTACCAAATAAAAACAGTCACTTCCTCATCAATAAAAAAAAAAACAGTATTCTATTGTTCTGGTTAAAAAAATAAAATAAATAAAAAAACTGCCTGGCCTCATCACTTTTTTTTTTTTTTTTTTAAAGAGCGAAAATCGAATAATTTTTTCCATGTAGGCCTATGTGCCCTTATTGTTAGTGTTATGGAAAAGTACACCCATCTGACTAGACCAAGGCCTAAATGTTTTTTGGCTTATGATATATTTTGTTCTATAAATTATAATTACTTTAAGGTTTGTATGTAATAGGCTAGTAGTTTAGGAATTACAATCAAATAAACTGTAGGCCTACCAACACATTCGCAGGTTGATGTTGGCTGCGCTCCACTACAATGAGAACGCTGGTAGGATAAGTTTGAAAGATAAGGATGGGAATGATAGATATAAAGTGGTGTTTCCACGAGCGAAGAGTGGAGGCTATACTTTGAAAAAGATTTTGTCAAATCCAACTTTTGGTGAGCATTTTATTTATAGCATTACTAAAACTAGGCCTAGTATCAAATAAACTGTAGGCCTACCAACAAATTCCAAGGTTGATGTTTGCTGCGCTACACTCACAATGAGAACGCTGGTAGGATAAGTTTGAAAGATAAGGATGGGAATGATAGATATAAAGTGGTGTTTCCATGAGCGAAGAGTGGAGGCTATACTTTGAAAAAGATTTTGTCAAATCCAACTTTTGGTGAGCATTTTATTTATAGCATTACTAAAAACGTATTAGCAAACATTAGCCTAGCCTAGTACATAACGCTAATTAATACTAGGCCTATATTTATACTCCCGGTTATACTGTATGCCTAGGCCTAGGCCTATTTCTAGGCTACGTAGAACTAGGCCTAGGCCTAATTATTTAGCACTTACCTCTTCTCATTGTTTATCTCTGAACATTTTACAAAACTCTTCAGAAAAGTCCGTAGTACATTTATCTATCGTATTGTATCCAAAATAAATATTCACTTAGCACATGTTTTGTTGATGTTAATAAAGCAATCTTGAATCTTGCGGTTTCGTTAAACAGATGCTGAAGGTCAGGGAGGTAACAAAATTCGCCTGTTGTTTCTACTATGCTACTATAATTACTACTACTACTGTACTGTATTGAAAACACTACCCCATGCGTTTTTGTGTTAAGACTGAATACAAATTATGTTTTCATGCGCTTTAACAAAATTATAACATTTGACGTTTACGCGCTCACATTGAACACATGTGTAAAATGCGCGAACACTCGATCGAGTCAGTGGCGATGCTAACCAATAATTCTATTTTACATACCATAATTATTTCAATTCTCTAATATTTTTAATACGCAGATTATGTTAAGGAGCTCATAGATCTCACTTTAGATATGTGTGGAGCCGGTAGTGGACAACTTGATGGCATAATTCTTCCACCTATTCCACCACCACCTGTTTGTCACTCACTGTTTAGACCATCAAAAGAAGACGCAATCTTGGAGCATAGGTCAAGATTCGGGACTAATGCTCCTAACAAATGAAAGCAGTCTTATCAACTGAAGCCAGTTTTCACCCAACTTGTTGCCGCTATTCATGTCAATATTCAAACCAAACGGCTCTTTTCAGAGCCACCATTTAAACAAAAGAGAGATAGCATTTTGTCATTAAAAAAATAATTTTGTTTTTAGATAAATATTTATTTATTTATTTTTATTTTTTTATTTTAGCATTTGTAATTCCTACAGACAGTATTGTATACATAATCTATCTCTTACGTTTCACTATTTCTAGGACCCTGGATATACACGTGACCATTTTAATATGTAATATTGAAACGCGTACTCATAACACGCGCGAACCATGTCTATCACTAAGAAATATAAAGCAATGCATGACACGAGGGTTTTCGTCTACTACTACAGTCAAAGAGTATATACTCTTTGCTACAAATACAGTTAGCTCGGCCTATAGTTTATAGTAGTAGTAGTACTAGGCCTATATAGTAGGACATCGTATTTTTGAGTGAAACGTTTCAGAGTACTACAGGTGACGCGACGTTAACGTAAGTAGAAGTAACGACACTTGAGGTCATTAATTATTCATGAATGATTACATAATAATTTCATAATTATGTGGGTATGAATTTTTTATAGTGTTGATATATTAATTTGCATATGCGGGCATATTAATTTTCATATTTTGCTGGTATATTAATTTGCATATGCTGGTATATTAATTTGAATATGCTGGTATATTAATTTGCATATGTTGGTATATTAATTTATATATGGTTGTTTTTTAGTTTCCATAATGTTGAAATATTAATTTGCATAATGCGGGTGTGTAAATAATAACGATATTGATAAAATTAATATTAATTTCCATAATGTTGATATATTAATTTGAATAATGCGGGTGTGTAAATAATAATGAGAATATAGGGTATCGCTGAGCCTCCTATCTAAGTAGTTCTGAAAAGAACTGTTTTTGTAATGTAAAAAACCTGTGATAAATTGTATTCAACTTAGCTAAAGATTTGTAAATGAAAATACAAATCTAAATTTCTAACTTATTTTCAGTAGGTCTAGTTTAGTTAGGGAGAAAACAGGCAATAAGATTCGTTGAATGATAATAATATAAAACTTACATAGGGTGATCTCATCCTGTTTTCACAAATAGTATATAGTAATGTAAATTCCTGTTCCAATGTAATGTAAATTCCTATTCCAAAAGGCGATCTTTTTTTTTTTCTACACAATTTCCTATAGTAGTGCATTAACGGAAGCGGGGTTTTCAAAAAGATTGTTCCAAACACGTTGAGGCCTGACCATGGCATGACGAATTATGAAAATCCGATAGATTTGAGGGTACATGACGTATAGTGAAATTAGCCAATGAGAGACGTACCCAGACAGTTCCGGGTACATGACGTCTTAGTGAGATTAAACAATGAGCAACGTGTCCATCGAGATAAGGGGCTGGTGAGTAATGAAAAATTGTGATATGTACGGGTCCGTGATGTCTGAGTGACGTTTTATTTATTCTTTGTTTAAAACGGAGAGGATTTGTTTTATAGTAATATATTTAAAATAATGGTAGTAATAAAAATTTTAATGATGAAAAATTAAAATATTCGTAAATAAATAGGACTATAATAATGATAATAATAAAAATACTTGGATTAACGTATGTTTGTTGATGGTAGTGTAGGCTCTATAAAATAAGGAGATGTAGGAGACTTGATTGTCTTTCAATTACAACAAAAATAAACTATTATAAGTTCGTGTTACTCTACGTCAGGTGCGTTTTTATCTGTATTATTTTTTCAAACATGTCCGGAAAAACCAAATCAACTGCTACTACCAACTTGGAGGTTATTCGAGGAAAAAATATCAACATGGAAACTGAAAGAATTGCACGAGAAATCAATTCAGCGTTTGTAACATATAAACTAGGCAATGATATGGAATATAGAGGAGATATGAACTGTAATTTTTTTCAAATATTGCGAAAAGATGTATAATGCATGCGATGAACATGTTTATAATTTGACAAGAGAAGTAGTATCGCTTGATTCAAATGAGAATATTGAGACGTTTTTAAAAGATGTTTTAACAGAGATGTTTAGTGATAATATCATAAACTGGGGACGTATAATTATGGTGTTTGTGATTGGAGCGAAATTAGCTGTGTTATGTAAAGATAGAAACAGAACTGATTTGATTGATCAAGTAATACAGAGTGTAGACAAATTCGTGAAGACGGAATTTTTGGAATGGATTAATTTGCAAGGAGGATGGGTAAGTCACATTTTTTTCGTGTTAACAATCGTTGATTAATAAATTCAAACGGCAATTTGTTTCTCTCTATATATTTTATATATACTATTTATTTATTTTATTTAGACCAATTTATTTATTTATGTATTTTCAGAAAAATTTCGATCAATCGTATACTGAACACAGTAGGATTACAGAGACTCCTCTAATCAACGTTTCGCTGGGGATAGCGTCAAGTCTTGTAGCAACTTTTTTTCTATTCAAAACATTTTGTCAAGGATATGTGTGAATTATATGTATGTCTCGCCTATCTAAGTAGCTATGAAAAGAACTGTTGAGAATGTGAGTGTTCCAAAAAGGATAAGCTGACTGATGACGCATAGAGGGTTTTTCAACTGATGACGCATAGCGAGTTTTTCTAATGACAGGCCCAGTACCGTTGAAGTCTGACGAATAATAACGTATAATGAAAAAATCAAAACATTCTCTGGTACGTATGACGTCTGACTGAAATCAACCAATGAGCGAAGCGCACCTTTCGGTCCCCTGAAGTTGTTTTTAATGCTATAATGAAAGTCTTACTATCTCGAGCAGATATATTTGTTAATGAAACTTTAAAAATTAACGTTTTGCATTTTAGAATGCCTATAGGGGGTGGTAGGGTAAGAAAAGGGATTAATAAAGAATTTGGGGGGTAGATGTCTCATTAGAATTAACAATGGGTTGGATGAGAATATCTGTTGTGCCAGAGCGATGGTCACCGGGATCTAAATGATTGAGGATAAAATTAA